ATGCACTTATTTATAGACGTTACCTATTTATTCAGTTCACTGAAGACACCAGAGGAGGGCATCAAACACATGACCACATCTGAGAGGAACCTTTGCTACGACTCTATAAACAAACCACTCATGTGGATAATCCCAAAATTGTCGAGGACGAAAATAGTTTTCTCATATCCTGCTCAGTATGGAGCTACACTGTCATGCCATGCTCAGAAAATATTCCAGCAATATGTCCAGGCGGCTTGTGTGAGTGATTGCAGCTGATGTGTTCTGAAAGGTTAAAAAGTTTTTGTGCCACCTACTGATGCCTTTCCATTCCATTTATCAAATGGATTTATGAAATCAAAATTCATCTCAAAGTAAAGGGAAAAATAGTATCACTCCGCTTGCACGTTTGTTTAGTACTCATGAAACCGTGCAGATGGGCTCTTTTGGGCTGTTGACGTTGATGGTGTGGACATGTGTCTGCGTGTCTGGGAATGGAGTGCTTTAAGGATCGATCTTTGTCTGAAAGGATGTGCAGTCAGGTGACCTCTTCACCCTCTTGACCTCAGGGCTTCATGTGAGCCGGCCTCTGGGAGAACATGATGATGAGAGATCACATTTCCTGTCACCATTTCCAGGGCTGACCGGATTAATTAGTGGTGCTGCTAAGACAAGCATCACTAAAGCTGTTGATCATATGGTTTCTTTCAGTAATCAAATTGAGAATTTTTGCCTGAATGTTGAAAACAGGGTGAAACAGTGTGACAAAGACTTTGGGAGAAAGATTTTTGAAACAGGCCTGTAAGCAACTACCCAGAACACCAAGCAACCTCATAACAACACCCCAACATCAACCCAGAGCCCCCAGCAACCACTTAATAACACCCCAACATCCACCTAGAACACCTAGCAACCACTTAGCAACTCCCTAACATCCACCCAGAGCACCAAGCAACCACTTAAAACACCCTAACATCCACCCAGAGTACCCTAGCAACCACTTAAAACACCCTAACATCTACCAAGAGCACTTAGCAACCACTTAACATCACCCAAACATCCACCCAGAACACCTAGCAACCACTTGACAACACCCTAACATCCACCCAGAACACCTAGTAACCACTTAGCAACTCCTTAACATCCACCCAGAACACCTAACAACCACTTAACAACACCCTAACATCCACCCAGAACACTTAGTAACCACTTGACAACATCCAACAGAGCACCTAGCAACCACTTAACAACACCCTAACATCCACCCAGAACACCTAGTAACCACTTAGCAACTCCTTAACATCCACCCAGAACACCTAACAACGACTTAACAACACCCTAACATCCACCCAGAACACCTAGTAACCACTAAGCAACTCCCTAACATCCACCCAAAACACCTAGCAACCACTTAAAACACCCTAACATCCACCCTGAACACCTAGCAACCACTTAACAACACCCCAAAATCCACCCAGAGCACCAAGTAACCACTTATCAACTCCCTAACAACCACCCTGAACAACTAACAACCACTTGACAACACCCTAACATCCACCCAAAACACCTAGCAACCACTTAAAACACCCTAACATCCACCCTGAACACCTAGCAACCACTTAACAACACCCCAACATCCACCCAGAAAACCTAGCAACACCCTAACATCCACACAGAGCATCTAGCAACCACTTAACAATGACCACATAGCAACACACTAATATCCACCCAGAACACGTAGAAACCTCTTAACAACACCCTAACATCCACCCTAATATCCACTCAGAGCACCTAGCAACCACTTAACAAGGACCAACTAGCAACACATTAATATCCACCCTGAACAACCAGCAACCACTTGACAACACTCTAACATTCACCCAGAACATCTAGCAACCAGTTAACAACACACTAACATCCATATTGAACACCTAGTAACCATCTAGAACAGCCTAACAGCCACTTAGCAATTCCCTAGCAGATATTTAGTGATGCCTTCACAACACTGAACACCCTAGCCTCCATTTGGCAACACATGAACTCTCACCCAGAATACCTTAGCAACATATTTGTTTATCATTGTTTGAACACAAACCCTGCCCCAAACTTATGCCACTGGCCTTCAAGCTTTCTGATTTGCTGTTTACATTTGATTTCTCAAGACACATATTTCATACAGTATATGTCAGGAAGTATGGACATTTTATGCAAAGTATTCCAAAACAAACTGTTTGCAGCCATTTTATAGTTGTCGTTTTTTTTTTTTTAAGTAACAGTCCGTGAACGCCTAAGCTGATTGTATCTTTGCTACCTAAACAACGAGAGCGATATCAGTTTGCAGCATGTGGCGGTCCAGATGGACGGGCAGTTCAGTACGGTTGCCAACAGCTGGATGATCCGAGAGCTGCCCTCAACACTACTGTGATATTCCCAGTGGATGAGAGGATGGATACAGGACAAGCCAGCGGCCGAACAGAGAGCAACACTTCCTGCTCAGGACAGGAAAAGCTACCGCTACTCGGTCTTATCACTAATAGCACAGGCGCTCCAGAGAGACAAGGGTACAGCAGAGAGCGGATAATGAGAGGAAGAGGGTTTTAAATCCGTGTGTAAATGAATACCCCTCGAAACCTGGGAATCTCAGGCCACTTGAGACAAGCTTGATCGCTCTGAAAACACAGACCGTACAAAGAGCAAATCTGACTTGGGTTTCACGTTAGTTCAGAAGCTACCGGGTGTCTTGCATTCGTGTCAAATTTCCATGGTTTGGTCTTCAGGGATTATGCCATGCTATTCATTGACTACTTCAGCAGAAACTGGCAGCACGCATAACCAGAGCTTCTCCCTTTAAAGTTCAAAACTAAAGACTTCAACATATTACATGTTTACTTCCCAATTTTGATGTTAAAACGGGCATATCGCATAGACAAAAGCGAGCAGCCGTGAAATTTTGGGGAAACAGGCGTCTACATCAGTCTGAGGGACAAATGCATCACAAGGCTGGCCGCAAGGCCACTTCCTCATGGATGTGAGAAGAGGGCATTTCCTCCCAAATCTCCACCACTGGCTCTGCCATGTCCACAAAACGATCAAATCCTTGAAAAACTCTCAATGAATGCATCTTTCAGTTTCAATGAAGAAACTTCTTGTTATTTAGTCCATGACGAGGCAAAAATACGGTAAATTATCACTCATTCCAGTTCTAGTCACTTTTAGTAGGCAAAACCTGGTTTTATAGCCTGATGACACCTTTTAAAATCTACCGGTGCATTAAAGGTCACATATTGTACACCTTTCTGGAGTTTTATTTTAGGTTTTGATGTCCTTAAGAATATATATTTGCGGTATAAGTACCAAAAACCATCTCAATATATTTTTTACAGCTCCTCTCTCAGGAGCTCTGCTGAGAACAGGTCGATTTTGGCCTGTCTAATTAATATTCATGAGCCTCTCTTCTGATAGTCACAACGGTTCGTGAAAAATCACAGCTACTTTATGCAGGCTGTGTGCAGTTTACTGTGGACTGACTGTTTTGAAACTTTATGGTAGTTACATAGCACCTAGACCTCAGTTATCATGAAAAAAGCCAGGAAATTTCAGTTTTGACAATATGGGACCTTTAAAGAGCCCAAAACCAATACAGTCATCTGAAGAACTTATAATAACCCTTTTAGTCAACTCTTGAAAAGTGGACCTTGATAAGAAGAAGCAAAGGAACCTTTAAAGACATTTTAAGGCCATACATGGCAGCAGATATGCAATGTTATTCCACCCACTCACTCACACACACCATCACTTTATCCTCCCTTTCTGTTTCCCAAACCCAAAATATTACAAATCATGTCCAAGCCATTTAAAGCCTCTCGGGAGTTCTCTTGTCTCTTGTTAAGTATTTGACACAATCATATCTGACACAAACATTCATAGAGACAAGTGTGGACTTTTGTTGAAATATGCATCTAAATTTAATATAAATCTATAAATGTATTCTGTCACATGTATCTTGTAGCACTGATTGGTGGGTTTTAGGACAGTTATTCTATAAGTATTGTTATATAGACAGAATTATTTTACATGTTGCATTAATTACATTGTAATAACATGATTCATAGTCCACAAGTTCGTGTCACTTTTGGTAGGCAAAACCTGGTTTTACAGCCTGATGGCGCCGTTTTAGATCTACTGGTGCGTTAAAGAACCCAAACCAATACAGTCATCTGAAGAGCTTATAATAACCCTTTTAGTCAACTCTTGAAAAGAAGCAGCTAAGGAACCTTTGAAGAACATTTAAGAGATTGCATGGCAGCAGATATCCAATCTTATTCCACCCACCCAGAACACACACACCAACCATCACTTTATCCTCCCTTTCCGCTTCCCAAACCCAAAATATTACAAATCCCGTCCAAGCCATTTAAAACCTCCCGAGAGTTCCCTTGTCTAACATCTCGAGACATCTCTCATTTTGCCTTTTCTAAGTCATGGGACTGTTATTTATCCCAGACTGACACAGATGCACATATGCCGTCTGACTCACTTCAACTCAGGGTCGGTCTGTTTTCAATTTTCGCACCCCTCCACCCACAAAAAGAGACGTTACTTCCACAAACAACAAAACAAGTGAAGAAAACGGCTTGCATGCTGCTAAAAATCCCCCTCCTTTTAAGACGCACACAGAGGCAGCTAACAAAAGCCACTCTCCCTGAGACTCCTAAACTCTTATCAGCGCTTTCCTTCCCCTCTGCGCTAGAGCGTGGGAGCGCGGAGGAGAAAACCTGCACCCGCAAACAACAGGAGGAAGCCAGTAATCTGAGTCGAGGCGCTCCGAATGATCCCAGGCAGCGGGGGAAGAAAGACAGCCTGAGAAAGCCTGACAGGAAAGGCTCGGACGGGACCGAGATGTCACAAAACTCAGTCGAAAATTGAGGGAAAAGTTCTAGAGACCTGAAGCGCGCTCTTGATGATGCTTCCTGTCAAATCAAACGATAGCTGAAGAGAGGGATCTTAAAACAGACACTTACCAGCAAGTCGAGCGTACATGCAGCGTGTCGGGCTCTACAGCGTCTCTATGTCCATAATCTAATGTCTCACGGTGTCCAGCCAGCACAGTCAGTGTCCACAACAAAAGACATGAAGGAGTGAACACGGGAGGACGGGAATGTCAAGGCTCTTAGTGAAACAGCCTCTTTCTGTTTCCTCTGTTCATTCAGAGTCTACTTACACTAAGTTGGCAATGCCTCTTGGCGGGAACAACTTGTTTCAGGATTCCCCAAATGTCTGAAGCTGCAAGCGGAGGAAGAAAAGGAGAGAAAAGAGAGAGTGTGTGTGTGTGTGTTTGGTGCTAAAGGGAGGGCTGGGGGGTTCGGGGAGGGGGGAGGGACGCGCTCTAAGGAGGCCGGGGCCATCTATGCCAGACAATAGCAGGAAAATGAACATCAGACGCTAAAAAGCAACAGTCAGATTATTAGAAAGTGCTAATAACAACTACAGGGAATGAAATAACAACAGAATGAATGTTGTTGTTGTACTTATTTTGGAAGATTTAGATATTTCATCTTTTTTAAGTGTTAAAGGGGTCATATTTATGCACCAAGAGCTGGTAACACTCCAAAGAGAAAGGAAAAATTGAAATCGCATCATATGACCCCTTTAAAAGAAAATTCATTTTTTTTTTTTTTTAAATCTCTCCTATTTTTTCAAGTCAAGTCAGCTTTATTTATATAGCCCTTTTAACAATACAGACTGTGTCAATAGCAAAAATAGTGTGTAATATAATGCAAAACAGTAAACACTCTTACTACACAACCTTATGTTCTTCCAAACCTGTGACTGTTATTTATTTTGTGGAACAAAAAAGGAGAAAGCTTGTATATTTTATGGTGATCATGTTAGTAAACCCCACCAAAACACAAAAATATAATATAAAATAAAATAAAAGAATACGAATACGAATAATAAAAAAAATAAAGGAACCATTTAATAATCTTCCAAAGTCAAAACGTTCCAAAGTTTTGAGGAACATTATTAACAGTTGAGGCTCTTAATTCTCATTCATAATTGTGCTTATAGGGGTAAAAAACTGACACATCCGGACATATTTGACTTCTAGATTCACTAATATTTTGTATTTGTACTGAAGTGAAGAGGAAAATTCACTGAAAATTATTTAAATTTCAGCACTATTTCACTTCATAAGGTGTGTGAATGTAATGCATCATCCTACTTTATTATACTTATGGTGTTTCTGGTCATTGCCACTATAAACTGTCATTGCATGGAAAAGAGCTGAGTGGAGTTTCTTCAAAAATTATTTTTAATTCCATTGAAAAAACTAAATCATATGCAGGTTTGGAACAACATAAGGGGGAATAAACGATGTATTAGATGCCCTGTGGCTGTTTTTTTCTTGTGTTTAAAGAAGTACACTTATGTGTTGACTAATATACTAAAGCACATTTCAAGTATCATTTGCAAAGTATATGTAAAGTATAATTTTAACTGTAGTGTGTTTTTCAATTTTACATTTAAAATAAATAGCCGATGTTTTAGGTGTACTACACTGCAACTTCATCATTACAAATAAAAAATTACAAATAAAAGTTTATTTAAATACATGACATACACATTTCAATAGAATTTACCTTAAATTTGAGTTTATCATAATGCTTGTCAGTACATTCATTCTGCAATACACTTTAACCATACTCCAAATACAACAGAATTAATTATGTAAATTACACATAAAGATGTAGCCTACTTGAGTCTTACTTCAGTGAGTGTGTCAAAAACTACTCATAAGTTCAACAAATTGCATTTAATGTAAATTTAAACTAAATTTTAAGTATATCATTACCATGTTAAGCACTAAAGATATGCAGCTATATTACCATGCAGCTGAACAAATTCACACACACATCCGCAGACAAGTTTTGACACATAAGTGCCAAATATTGTCCATTTTGTGACATATTCAGTTTGCTTTTCATGGCAAACAATTCCTTCAAATATCTTCTCCATTTTTCTTTTTTAATTATAGAGATGTCATTTTGACTGCAGTATGAGTTTTTTTTGTGTGTGTGTGCAAAAACTGCAAATGTACTTGTGTACAATTTAATCTCATTAGATTTGGTGTCAATAGGTCTTTGGTCCTGCAAACACTTCTTGTTTAGAACAAATTTAGCTCAGTTCATGTTGGTTGGATTTAGTTCACAAAACGAGATGTGCGCTATATATGAGAGAAATTTTAACCACAATGAATTTGCATGTCTGTCTGTTCACTTCTTTGTATCTGTGTGTGTTTCTGTACACACACACACACACACACACAATAACAATAAAACCTAACTTCCCTGTAATGAGGTCTTTGGGTCAGAGCATTACACTACAAAATACTTCATTATTAGGTCTGATTGCTCACACATCGGGACAAATTTCACCGTTCTTAATTCAATTTCTGGAGTGAAGACATTGGGACTCAACTGATGCTTTCACAGAGCTGAAAAAGAGAAAAAAACATGATTGGAAAATGTATCACTGTAATGCAAAGTTAATCTTGCGAGGTTTTTAAAGTTCTGCCATATTTGAGATTTTACTAATGAATGCCATGTGAACCTTTAAGTTTCATTTCCATGATTAAGCTAATAACATGAAATATAACTGTAATGTGTTTTACTTATTTAGCCTAGCTAACCTAGATTTTCACATAGACTTGACATATATCTTTTACTTTATAATCTAGACTTGTTGCAGGTTGCAGATACAAAGAATAAGTATTTTTTTTTAAATAAATATGAAAAAGATTACATATTTATATTTATATTTCCTATAGCTTTTAATAATTCAAATATTCCTGCTTTTAATAGCAAATGTTGTTATAGCTGACACAAACATTATTCACAGACAGTCACAGAGACAAGTGTGAATTTTTTGATGAAATATGCATCTTACTATAATATAAATCTAGATGTATTCCATCACATTTACCTTGTAGCACTGATTGGCAGGTTTTATGACACAGTTATTCTATAATTATTGTTATATAGACAGAATTCTTCTACTTGTTGTTATAAGTGCATTTATTACATTGTAATAACATGATTAATAGACATGTCAACACACACAAGCCCATGAGGACTTTCAGAAAGAGGGTTTATCTGAAGCCACAACTGTTAAATATTGTCTAAATGCAAGGGGGGCCTCAGAAAGCATATGAGTTTAATTTCGGTCATTGAAAACAACAACATGCGTCATTATGAATGGCATGGCGAGCAGAGAAAATGTGGTTATCATTAAAATGACTAAACACACAGATGAGTGTTCTCCAGAGGCCAGGATACACAGACACACACACACACTTTGATGGGGTCATACTTTAAATGCTTCCTCTAAGTGTATTAGAGAGATTCGCTGTTATGATACTCACTGATATCATACACACTGCATTGATCACAGTGTTACGCAGTTAGATCAGTGAAAACATCCTTATCACAGTCCGAAATCACGTCTACAAATCTAACAAACCTTTTCCCATTACATAACACATTTTTATGTCATATTTAATTATATTTGCAATTATTGTCCTCTAAACGCATCTGATGTCCTGAAGCAAATCATATTGCAGGCAAGACTTTTCCCTGCTTTTATATTTTAGATGTTTTTGCTATATTATTGGCGGTGAGAGTGAAGAAATCAATGGAAAATCAAGGACAAGAGGAATAAGATCAGACATGTCATTGCATGGATTTGAACCTGTAGCGCCTGCATTAGCACCACGCATAGCTCAATGTGTCTGAAGCACATGCACTAACCACTAGGCCACATTTCTGAGGTTTCAAACTGGAAAATACATGTATGTTTTACATTTGTGCTAATTGTTTCTAACTATCCCAAACAATTCAAATCTGGGTCATGTTTCCTAAACTCACTGTTGACAAATGTATTTAAAAGATTCCAACCAAACCAAAACCATAATGACCCATTTAATAGAATAGTTCATCCAAAAGGCAATTCTGCCATTTACACGTCCTCAAGTTGGACCTTTATACTGGTACATTTTTGTGAAACATAATCAGAATAATCCACAAGTAATCCACACCACTCCAGTCCATCAATTAATGTCTTGTGAAGAGAAAAGCTGCATGTTTGAAAGAAATCTATCCATCATTTTAACTTAAAATTGTCACTTCCCACTAAATTACGAGTCCTCTATTTGTAACTGCTTTCTTTAGTGTCTTTTATCTAAATCAGGAATATATGCACAGATCAAGCACTGTGCATTTTAGGCACACAGCCAAGAGGTTAAAATAGTGCAGCAGCGTGCAAACAATACCAGGGCTTTTTCTGGGTCGATGAACATCCTACGACCAACAATTTTATACCCATTTAGTTTGTATATAATCAGATGCTTCCTTTTCCGACAATTCATCCAAGCATGTTCAACAATGAGAGGACAGAGATGGACAGACAGTCAGGAATAGAAGAAAACAATGCAATGCATACACAACATCAGAGAGCAAGACTACATCCCTTATAAATATTTACCATGGTAACCACAGGGTCTGGAAAAATACAGGAAGGCTGCCGCTCAAGCTTGTTGGGTTACAGGTTACCACAGGCACGCAACACTCACATTTTCTTCAGAATATGTAAAAAAAAACTTAATTTTACAACAGTGATGGTGTCTGTAGTAACTATAAGATTGTGGTGAAAATGTTCACCAATGTATAACTTTGTAGGGGATGCAAAGATGCAAATGCATATAGCAGCAAGAAAGAGCAAGAAGAAGGGGTGAAAAATCAAGACCGTAGCCGCCTCTCTGTCTGTGTGGTCCGGTTTTTGGAGCAGTTTTGACAAGCAACTGACTCAGTTCTGTTGAATGGCAGATCTAGCACAACTGTAACGTAATCCTTCAACCAAACACACAGGCACAATGAGAGAGACACAAACAGATGCTCGGCCGTCTCTCAGGGGAGGACAGAGATGCTGGTGCAGATGCTCAGCTGGGCACCGTTTCAACTATTTCCAACATGACTGACCATCAGGGAAACATCCTCCCTAAAGGAGTTAGTGCTGCTGGACACGATATTCTGATTAGCTAAATAAATGTGTTGTAACGAATTAGTCCACTGAAGGCGAATTGAAGTGAGAACCCAAGTGCATCAATGGGAAACAAGACACATGACTAAAACAACCAATCAGAACATGACACATACACAAGGCAGAGAGACATGAGGCAAGGGAAGCATGGCACTAACATCAGGAAACAATTACAAAATAAAAGACATGGACATGAACATGAA